CTAATAAAAACAAATATTCTACCTAAAACAGAATATGTTGTCAGTGGTGGACTTAATCAGCACAAAAGGCACTATGGGCTGGTGGCCACCTTGCACTACAGAGGACAGACAGCTTCTTGTACTGACACATTGACTGCTGTCCTCTATCTGCACTGACACACTTGGCCTCTGTCACCTATTTGAGTGGACACACAGGCTGTGTCAGCCCCCTACACTCCTGCTCCTGGAACTGCCAACACAGCTCCTGGCAGGTGCCTTGCCCAAGGCAGCAGAGGCCTGCCCACTTTAAGGCTCTGGATGTAACTAAGGAGACTAATAGATTGGGAGAAAACTGTCAGCACTCTCACCTTACCACTCTTAGAGAGCTGGCTCCAGACTAGAAAGTGATGCCTCTAGGCTCAGTGGGTTCACACCAAACTGCATTTTCTTTCTAATATTTAACCACTACACTACTACCTTTCATTAGGGTGAAACAGTGACACTACAGCTCAAGCTCCACAGGGAGAAAGATGCAGTTAGTAGCAAGATACACCATCCTTGGGCTCTAAAAAAGTGCTTGCACTCTCGCTGACCAGCCTCTAAACTTCCTCTGGACAGGCACTGTGACATACTTGGAAGGGGAAGGGACTCAGAGGAAGGCATAGCTGTTTTCTAAACAGATGACTCATTATAAAGGAAAATCTAAGAGTGCTACAAACACTGCAAAAAGAAAGCTGCTCAAAAATTTTTCAGATTATACCAAAATATCAAACCTGACTCTCACCAGAACTATCCATGGAGCACTTGGGAGGCTGGGTTCATCCCAAAGCCACTTTGTCCCCCAAGGAAGAGCTGTGACCATGCAGGGGTGGGAAAACTGGTGCTAACAAGGGAATGAATACTCAGTAGTGACTCCAACTCCAAGCACCTGGTTGAGACAGCGCCAGGTTAAGCCTAAAAGCAGGGCCAGTACAATCTTTGGGAGCTGAGGACTCTCCTATGAAGCACTGGTTGAAAAGAGGAGGTAGTGGTTGCTTTTCTAACTGAAACCTAACACATGCAATGTGGATCATGTTTGGATACTAATAGATTAAAAGTTAACAGGCATTTTATTATTTGTTTTGCTTTTGTTTTGAGACAGGGTCTTGCAATATAGCCCAGTCTGACCTTGACCTCTCCATCCTTCTGCATCTGCCTCCTGAGCACTGGGATTACAGGCATGTATCACCATGCCCTGCTTAACAGGCATTTTAAAGACAACTAGGTGCTTTAAGTATGATCTCAGTTTTAGATGACAGCAAGGAACTGTCAGTTTGTATGAAAACATGTGTGGGATTAGGTAAGAGCGTGTTCCTTCTGCTTTAGAGATACATGCAGAAAGTCATGAGCACATCAGGGGTCTTCTGTAAAATACTATAGCAACAACTCAGAAGGGGAGGGGAAGGGAGCATGACCAAGTATTAGCAATGCTGAACTGGAGGCAGCAGGGGCTCATTATACAATTCCTGCTTTTGTGTATTTTGAAAACTTCCTAACTGAAAACCCAGAAATTACCTCCAGAAAGTGAGGGAGGACCATTAGCAGAAAATAAAAACAACAAAATCCATTTTATAGGAGGCTTAGCAGAAGATGGCTGAGAACAGAATATATTCAGACTCTCCAAGCTGAGAGTGCGTGCAATGAGATGTGCTTAGGTAATGGGCCCACTCTCACCCCTGCTAAAAAGGACACCCCCCCTCCCCACGGCACTAGCTTCACCTAGGAGCAGTTGTCTTAGCCTGGCATCAGAGCTGGCTCAAACCCACTGATGCCCAGACACTAGGGTGGGCTCTCTTTAAAAAAAAAAAAAAAAGGAAAAAAGAAAGACAACTTTGTGTGGATACACAGTTGGGCAACAGCTAAGGAAAGGCAAGGTCATCATTATCGCATGTGAATACTAAGGTTTCAGGAAAAATTTCATTTTATACTCTGTGGTACTGGGGTTTGAAATCAGGGCCTTGCACTTGCCAGGCAGGTGCTCTACCACTCGAGTCACTCCCCTAGCCCTTTTTGCTTTAGTTGTTTTTTGAATAAGGTCTTGTGTTTATGCCTGGGTTGGCCTGGACTGTGATTCTCCTGATCTTTACTTATAGAGTAGGCGAGTTACAGATGTGCATCACTTTGCCTGGCTAGGAAAAACATTTTAAATGTATTATATATTAATTCTTCTCCATGACACAGATTTAAGGTTTACTATTGGCATGAAAAGTTGGGAAAAACAAACTCTCCAAGCAATCCTATTTTAAGTAGTGTTGCCAAGACCACCACCACCTCCTGCCTCCTAGCTATGTCACTTCCTCACAGACAGCAGTCAGTGGTCCGGGAAGCCACACCTTGCCTCAGCAGATTAAGGAGACTGCTCTAAACAGTAAGGGACAGAACTGACCATCGCTGAGCACACGGAAGCACTGGCCGAATGGAGTAACGAAGGATCAGACTGTGGTTTAGGGTTAAAGAAGCTATAAAAATGAAAATGAGATGATGTGTTTAGCTACAAACTCCTTACTAGTAGTACTAACAAGAAAAGACAGACCAACACGGGCACAATACCTTGACAGCTCAGAGACTCCAGGAAGGCCATGTCTGTGCAGAGTAAACCTATCCTGCCACAGAACTAAAGGTCTCACACCTGAGTGGAAATGAATGCTTCTGGTTTCCACAGGACGGCTGAGGATGAGAGTACTTGCTGGCCTAACATGAGCAAGGCCTTGGGTTCCATCCCAAGCACTGAAAAGTAAGTTTCCACAGGACATTTTAGGAAGAAAATGAGACTTTAGATATGTATTGCACTACCAGGTAAGATTGGAAAAAACAACTACCACCAACAACCCCCCCAAAAAACAAAATCCAACCCATGAATTGGACAAACTCAACAGAGTCCAACCAGGGCAGGCCTGAGCAAGGCACCTTGAGGCAGTGGGCCACATGACAGGGCTTCTCCTACACCCACTGATGGGCACATTCATTCTGGTCATGAGCGCTGGCCTTAACTGTCGAAGTGGTTTAGATCAGGGAATCCTCCATACAGTGCCAGCAGGGCCACCTTAGCCCACTGCTCACTGAGCTCTTCCACTATCTTGGGGCAGAATGGTGTCCTGATGGCAACTACTGGAAAAAGCTAGCATTGCATACTGCATACACCTGACATATATCACTCCTAGAGAAAGAGCAAGAATCCAGGCCCTCACACATGCTGGGACAGTCTTCATGTTTTTATCATCTTTACTAATAACCCACTCTGTCAGTAAAAGAATTGACTCCTTGCCCCAGCTTGTACCAGGATGCTCAGGTCCATTCAGGGGTCTGGTTCTACTTTGCTGGAACCAAGTTATCAATTACATCCCTGATTAAAATGAAGGAAAGAAAACAGCTCACACTTCTGCAGTGCATGTTAGACCAGTGCCCCTGCAAGCCTACTCTACACGATGCCTCGGGTCTTGAGTCAAGGACAAGCAGAGGTTCCTGGGCCCTTCCTGCCCTTTCTGGAGACAGGGTGCTGTAGAGGCATTCTATAGAGATTTCCTATAGTGCACTGGCTGGAAAAGTCAGACAAAACCTACATGCTGACTATGGGCAGCACGACTCATCTTAAAAGCAGCATTAATAGGTGTGATACTCATAGTGTATTAAAGATCAACATGAATCAGAACTGTCTAACATTCAAAATGTGTAGCACCAATTTTTACTTGAATCAAACCATACACCCAAACCCAAAGCTACAGAGGCTAACTCCTCAGTCTCCAGGAGACTAATGTACCAGCCTCCAGGAGGACTGGGTAGAAATGCTCGTCTATTTTAAATTGGAGTATAGGTTTTAACTTCATTCCAAGTGGAAGTTTTAATTTTTTGATATTCAAAACAGTATACAAATCAGGAATTAAAAAAACTGGCTATTTAGCATGAACTCCACCACTTCCTATGTCTACACCAAGTGCTCTGAGCTCTAATTGTACCAACAGGGGAGGGCCTCCTTTTGAAGGAGTTGAGTGGTCAAGATGGGTTTTTATCTATCTGCTCTCCTGGAGTCAAACTCTTTAAATTGTTCTGCAAATCGAAAGGGACTCTCTCTCCACTGGTCTGTGCAAAAGGGTTGCTGAAGAAAAGGCTCACATCCAGCGGGGCCTCAGCCTCAGAGTCCCATGAGTCTGTGTCTGTGCTGCTGGAGTCTTCAGCTGTTGTGGGTGGGTAGCTGAGCTGCTCTAATTGGTCAATGATGTCAGAGAACTGGAAGGCCGAGCTGGACTCAGAGCGGACTGAGTAGGCTGGGAAGTTGACCATGGAGCTGGCCTCAGACTGATTGGCGGAGCTGGATATGTGCAGAGACAGCCCGGTGTGCAGTGGCACGTTACTGAGGGAGCTGTTCTCAGACTGGTTGTTCCGAAGTGAGCTGGTCTCAGAAGGACTCAACAGGCTCTGCATCAGGCTAGCTTGTGCCTTCACCTCAAACAACTCTGAGGTATCTGAGGGGTGTGCATTGCCATTGAAGTCACTTCCTTCCCCAAATTCAAAATCATCTTCTATACTCATGTCTACTGCCTCGGTGGAGTACCTATCTGGGCTGGACTGGGCAGACTCTGGATGCCGGAAGGCATCTGGACCGCACAAGGGAGGGGATGCGGCAGGCCGGGCAGGTGAACGGGGCTCTTGTGGGACTAAAGAGCTGTATGGGAAAGCAAATGCCTCAGAGCCACCAGCAAAGAAAGAGATGTCTGCTGGGTCGTCATCTATGAACTCTTCGGACACCTGCAGTTGTGCATTTGTCAATGTGAAAACAGGGTCCCCCCTGCGACACTGCCGGCCACACAAGGACTCCTCCCTGGACAGGAATGAGCCTGCGGAAAAGTCATCCTCACCACTGCCATTTCTACCAGCAGCTCTGAGCCCCCCGTCAGCCCTCCCTGCATCTAAGTCTAAGGTACTGGGACTCTGCCCTGTGGAACAGACAGAACCATGGCAGCTCACAACATGACAAAACCCGACACCTGGACCAGGCTGGAGTGCAGGGGGCCCGGGGAGGTGGGCGGACTGTGTGCTGGGGCCTCTGGCCGCTGCTCCGCCGCTCCTCTCTGCTGCTGCACTCTTGACATAGGGAGCCTGGGGATCCATAAGGGAGCTGCTGCTGTCCTTGGAATTGGGCAGACCGGGAGGAGTCAGAAGGGAGGTAGAGAGTGGGTAAAAGGAAGCATTTGCTGAAGACAGGGAGGCGGAAGTCCTCAAACCCTCAGTGAATGAGATGCTCTGCAGATCAAAATTAAGAAAAGAAAAAAGGAACATGTAAAATTACAAAATTCAGTAAAATTATTAGAAGTTACAAAGCCAACGTGACCCAGCTTAGGATATCCATATATTTCCCACAGCTTTTCTAAAAAGGGCAACTAATCAGACTTTCCCCTGTGGAACAGAAGATTTGTAAATGGAGGCAGTTTTATAAACATCTGTCACAATCCCTTATAAGTCCACTTTTTTTCTTGTGGTGTGAAATGTCCACAATCAAGAGAACCTCCATCGTGGAGAACTGGACATCATGCAGCCCCTGACTCCATGGCAACCCAAAGTGATCACAGTTCTACTCAGTCAACAGTGCCCTCCACCCCACAGTGCCAACGCCAGGTAACAAGTCCAGAGACTTACTACCACCGTGGAGTGGGGATGCACACTGGTCCACTCACATGTGTAATGGAAGATTGCTGCCTAGAAGGCCCCTTGGCGACACCAGTGGCACAGGAGCCAGGAGCACTTCCAAAGCACTGAGTGGCCCAAGGATGAGTGAGGAGAGGCCCACGAGCAGGATGAGGGATGCTAGAAGGGTAATAAAGCAGCCAGCTGCACTGCTCACTACCGCAGGGTGCCCTAATGACGACCTCACGCGTGGTTCCACACGCCAGGACATGGGTGCACTCTCTCTGCTTGCTAGGCATCACTTCAATGAGTACATGCAGGCACACATGCATTACAACATGGACAACAAGCAAATACAATATGGCAGGAGCCCGACAACTAACCTTTTAGGAATAAAATAACAGGTCAGGGTTCGTAAGATTCGTCTGTTTTCTAATGTCTACTATATCACAATTTTTGTTTTGTTTTGTTTGAGACAGGGTCTCCTATGTAGCCCAGGCTGGCCTTAAACTTCAGGTCCTAGAGATTCTTCCACCAAAGCCTCCTGAGTGCTGGGATTATAGACTTGTACTACTACACTCAGCTGATCACCTTTCTTAATCACTCACCCATTGTTTAAAAAATACTTTTAAGTATTTCAGAGAACTGAAAGCTTAAGTGTAAATTTTTAGACTGTTCATACTTTGAAATTATATTTGAACTTTATAAAGAACAATTAAAATTACATTCTCGTTTAGCTATAATTGATCTAATAAAGAATTTCTAGAGGAGACACATATGAAAGAGCTAAAGACTTTTTCTTTTTGGTGGTGCTGGGGTTTGAACTCAGGGTTTTGTGCTTGCTAATCAGGAGTCCTACAACTTGAGCCCCAGCCCCAGCCCAATCTAAAGGGTCTGATTTAAAAGATCCATTAGAGGGCTGGCAGAGTGGCTCAAGGAGTAAGAATGCCTGCCTAGAAAATGTGAGGCCCTGAGTTCAAATCTCAGTGTCAAAAAAAAGAGACTCATGAGGAGCTAGGTGTGGTGGTGTACGCCTGAAATCCCAGCACTGGGGAGGCTGAGGTAGGAGTATTGCCAATTTGAGGCCAGCCTGGACTACACAGTGAGACTCTGTTACAAAATAACAAAAAAACCCTCTAGAGAAAGGCTGGGGACACGAGGGCTTTTTAGACATGAGGTACAGGTGGAAATCCTGGAAATTTCTGGGATGTATAAATGACAACCCATCTACCGACATGAACATGAACACAAGTCAGCAGCAGCACAAGGAACAGCGAAGCAGCAAGAGTCTATGTACAATCATGCTGTGTGTAGGGGAAGCAGCCCTGGAACAGAACAGTCACTGATGTCCCCGCACAGAGGCCTGGAGCAGTGCCGTCTCATTTAGTGCATTCCTGCCAAATGTTCTTCCTTGAGGTGTCTGTGCAGGCCCTGTGTGTGTCTGCTTTAACATAGCTGTGATCATGCCAAACACATAGGATGCAAAGTTGTTTCCAGCTTTTCACTTTTAACAGCAAGAACGTCAGTCTCCATGTTACTATATACTTTTGTTTTTTGGTGGCACTGGGGTTCAAATGCAGGGCTTTGCACTTGCGAGGCAAAGTCTATCACTTAAGTCAAGCCTTCAACCCTCATTCTATATACACTATCTTTCAACAGTGACACATGAGCCAGGTGTGGTGGTGCTTACTTGTAATCCCAGCACCTGGGAGGTGAAGGCAGGAGGATCTCAAGTTTGAGGCCAGCCTGGGCTATACAGCAAGACCCTGTCTTAAAAACAGGGACATAAAACTCCACTGCATGGACAATTACAGTGTGGCAGTGATCAGAACTCCCCAGGTGCGGTGGATAGCACTGTGATGCAAAATAAGTGCTTGAGGCTGTCGCTTCATTAAAGACTCAATTTTGAAGACCCAGTTCCAGAGTGAGAACTGCTGCATTCAATGATGTGACTAGTGTTGACAGTCTTGTTACACCTCTGAAGATGATTTTCCATAACAGTAATGAATACTGCCTATGGTTTCCACCAGAAAAGACTAACCTGTTTTGGCAGGTCTGCAGTCAGAGCATGGATAGATGTCCGGGTCTTGCTGTGCCGTCTGCAGAACAGAGAACAACCGTTAGCAGCCAATCCCTCTTCATCTCCATGCGTTTCTACAGACAATGTGTGCTGTGTCCATGAAGAAAAGCTCAGACAAGAATGTGGCTAAGGCAGGGATTGTTAACTACAAGTGGGCAGGGTAAAGGGAAGTAAGAATTCAAATTAAAATAAGAGGCCTTAAGAGAGGTCAAATTATACACCTACACTAATGGAAAAATTCCTTATGAATTTCAAGGTTAAAAATTTAACACACTGTAAAACCGCTGTATACAAACTAAGTTATACAATATAAAAACCAAAAAGTACTACCTACATATGCATACAGTATCTGTATGACATTACAAATTCATTTTGCTTAAAAAAGTGAGAAAAGAACTCAAGCACTGAAATACGTTTATGCATGTGAGATTAATTTTATTCAGTGAAGATTAAAAATGTGAGCAGTATGGTCAGGCAGAGTGAGCAGAGCACCTGTCTACCAAGTATGAGGCCCTGCATTCAAGTCCCAGTAGTTGTTTTTTTTTTTTTTTTTTTTTGGTACTGGGGTTTGAACGCAGGGCCTACATCTGAGCCACTCCACCAGCTTTTTTCTTTTTTTGTGGTGGGTTTTTTTGAGATAGGGTCTTGGGAACTATTTGCCTGGGCTGGCTTCAAGCCGTGATCCTCCTGATCGCTGCCGCCTGAGTAGCTAAGATTACAGGCGTGAGCCACCACTGCCTGGCCAAAAAAACATTTAAAAAAAATACACTTTATGGGCTGGTGGAGTGACTCAAGTAATAGAGCACTGGCCTGGCAAGTGTAGGCCCCGAGTTCAAACCCCAGCAGTGCCAAAAAAAGAAAAAGTAAAAACCCAAAAAGCCCACACTTTCAATGATAAAGACCACAGGGTTTACCTTTTCTTTTGGTGGTAGCAGGGTTTGAACTAAGGGCTTTGTTCTTCCTAGGCAGTCACTCTACCACTTGAGCCACAATTGCAGGCCTTTGTGCTTGAATTCTTTTTGAGATAGAGTGTCACATTATGTCCAGGTTGGCCTGGATGGTGATTCTCCTATTTGTTGTTCCAAGTAGTTTGGATGACAGTTATACGCCACTGTGCACACCACTGGTTAAGATGAATTCTAGTGAACTTTTTGGTCTAGGAACCACAACCTTCCTAACCTCTGCCTCCCAAGTAGCTAGGATTACAGGGATGAGCCACCAGCCCAGAGTTTACCTTTCATATGGAATTCTCTTCATTCCTCCATCTTTGACGTAATCCACTAGTTGCTTCTGAGTTCTTCCACTGTGAATAAATGTTCATGTTTTAAAAAAGAATAAACAGTAAATTACAGCACTGATCTTTCACAGTTAAGGACAGATGAAAAGACTTGCCCATCCTCTTCCATAAATATACAGGTATACATTTCAAACTTATACTTTATGATAAGCATAACCAATTCTTTAGGCAAAGTTTTTTTGTTTTGTCTTGTTTTTACACAAAGTTTTTGTTAAGCCTATTTTCTCACTACTTTATTTGCTATACTCTGCTGTCTTTCACAAGACTACCCTGAATGCAATTCTCTGTACAGTCCATGATACCTCTTTTTCACCAGGGCTCAGCCAACCCTGCAGCTAAGGCCTTACCTGTATCTGAAGGAAGAGCCCCGGCTGAAGAACACAGCTTTTGCCTTTGGCTTAGGTTGGTCAAAAAGTCTAAAAAAAGTGTGGTATTCCACACAAATCTTCCAGAAGTTCTTACACTCATCTCTGCTACCCAACAAGAATTCTAATGTATCCTGGTAGGGTCCCTAGAAACGAAACACAAAGTTCAAGTAGCAAATTCAATAAAGGTCTGGACAAGAGAAAGCAAATTTAGAAAGCAGATCATACAACAGGCAGCTCCAAAATTAAAAATTAGGAAGCTTTTTTTTTCACCTAAAAATTGTATACAAAGGCTTCTGGTTCCATTTACTTAATGAGAAGACGAGAAGAACCGTGACTATATATTCACTGTGGAAAGCAAAGCACAATAGCCTTGCAGCTTCATACAAGCACAACATTCCGAGTGCATCTTATGACCACTCTCCCCTGCAAACTATAGTGCTTCCCCTGCCAGGTGACATGCTCTTAAATGCAGTTTTCAGGCTCACAAATACCAACACGAAGAAGCTGCTACCTTCTCTCTCACTTATTCCAAGGAATAACATTTTGAGCTTGGAGATGATGCACATTTCTGAACCTTCTGATATACGTTACCAAGCTACTTTTCAGAAAGACTGATACTCTAATTCCTCTGCTTAGTCTTCAAATCTAGTGCTTAGGAATATAAAATGTAACTGTCAAGCACAGACACAAACATGGCTCTAGGCTTTGAAATAACATGCCAATTAGCAGTTGCTTTTGTAAACTGAGTACTAATTCTCTTCTTTGTTTTTTTAGAATAACTGCAAGAAACACTTTTTTACTTACAGAGAAAAAGTAGCCTTTGATTTGCATTTTGTCTGTGTTTTGCTGTGTCTGCGTCCTACTTTTCTTTCATCCATAGAAAAGCAATTTGAATGATAAATAATAAACCATCCTATTTCCAGGCAAGGTGGTGCATGCCTGTAATCCCAGCACTCAGAAGGTTTGAGGCAGGAGGACTGAAAGTAACTGGACAGCCTGGGCTACACTGGGAGGTCCTGTTTCAAAAAACAAAAACAAAATTCCCCACAAAAAGCTGCGCTCTTGAGCCTCTAGAAAGCAAACACACTCACATACTACACCTGAGCCTGGAGTATGACAAACGCCAGCAACCACGCGACTCCCAGAGGGTCAGCAGAGCCCTTCTTCCGACTGGCCCGAGGCTCAGAATGCCCTTGCATCCAAATCACATCTAAGCCCACCACAGGGGCACCTCAAGCTTCCTCAGCATGGTGTTCAGCTGATCTACTTTTCATTTCCTAACTTCCTTTGAACACAGGAAACACGAATTTAAATATCTGTGAAGTTTAAGTGTACTGAGTTTTGCTGGGTGCTGGTGGCTCATGCCTGTAATCATAGCTACTTGGGAGGCTGAGAACAAGAGGGCTGTGGTTCGAGGCCAGCCTGAGCAAATAGTTCACAAGACCTTATCTCCAAAATAACTAGAGTAAAATGAACTGAAGGTGTGGCTCAACCAGTAGAGTGCCTATTTTGCAAGCATGAAGCCCTGAGTTCAAACCCCAGTCTTAACAATAGCAACAACAAAAACACTGAATTTTCCTAACTATCAGACTGTACAGATACTTACTTTTTCCATTTTAGTAAGCAGGTGGTTATTACTTCAATGACTAGAAATCTTTGAAGGATTTTTTTGAGTCATGTCTTACTATGAGACCAGACAATCCTTGAACTCATGATCCTCCTGCCTCAGCCTTCTGAGTGCTGGGATTATAGGCAGGTATGAATCACCACACCCAGCTCAAGAAAGCTTAAGCTTTCTGATAATCAGGGCTTCTTCAGTTATAGTCAGTCAGAGGTCAATTACTGAATCAAAGGGATGTGAGAAGACTGGGGAGGCCAATCAATTCATGTTCGACAGCAACACTCACTCTACTTCACTGCAGGGCTTCAGCTCACTCTCAGAACTCTACTGCAGTTTCCTTAGCTAGGGAACACGGCGGTTCACAGCCAACCATTTTCAGTTGTCCAGGGGAGTATGTGAAGTGTGCCTTCCCAGGCCTGCTGCACTGCGAAGTCCTGGGGATGGAGTATGGCTATCTGTTGATGGCAAGCTCCCCAAGGAGGTCAGCATGAGAGCTGCTGGCAGACTACCTCATCTCTTCCACATCCCAACCCTAAGTCCCGTCTTTAGATTCTTGTGTGCCTGACACTGAAGTGATTTACAAAGTAGTTTTTGAAAACTTCTCAAGGTTCTAGAAGAATAAACTGTCTTATGATTTAAAAAGTTCTCACAGTAATACTTACATGGACCTCTGGGTGGAGTTTGATAAGGAACCTTTTCCTCTTAAAGCTTAGTTTACGGACCTTGGACCAGTTGAAGGTGTTGATTTTGGTGGCTCCCTAAAGTACAAGAGAAAGACACACATTGGCATATTTGTAATTTGAACATGCACTCCTTTTCTCATCAGGTAGAGATCGCTTATGTTACATCCTTGACAGACAGCACAGCAGCTCACTTGATATGTTACCATTCCATCTGGAACAGCTCTGAACTAAATGTCAACATGAAATGCACTCATCTGTCTCAGAAAGATGAATTCATTTCTTTCATGGGGCTTTATTACAATTTTTAAAGTCAATGTTAACATTACACGTTTGAAGTCCACTCCAGCAAGGGAAAGCAGCTGGAATGAAGTCAGGTTTCTCTCCTTGGGAAAGGAGCCCTGAAAGGCTGGACTGGCTGCAGCTAAAGTGGAACCCCTGGCTTCCATATCTACAGATGGACAGAGACAGAGAGAAATACAGATTTGTGAGCAGGTGCACACATTGTGTGTAGCTTTGAGAGGGCTTCGGAGCAGTGTCACCCTAAGAGCAATGGGTGCAGCAAGTGCATGGATCTTGGTTTCTTTTTCTGTTTTTTCCAAGTTTTTGAGACAGGGTTTCACTATGTAGCCCAGGCTGGCCAGGGACTTGTGATCCTCCTGCCTCTGTATTCAACCCTGACCTCCAGTCATCACAAAGCTCTCACAGACCAGCAGAACTCCCATCCCCTCCACACAGAGACAGTTCCTGAGGGAAGAGCTGTTGGGTGGGGGGGCTGGTGGCATGGCTCAAGTGGTAGAATGCCTGCCTAGAAAGCCCTGAGTTCAAACCACAGTACCATTGCCCCCCCTCCCAAAAAAAAAAAGACTCCAAGGGGGTGACTTTTTGTTTGACATTAAAATGAATAATGAAAAAGGAATGGGTGCACTCAACAGCAGGCAGCCCTGGTTTGGTGGAAACTGGGAAAGCTGGGGCCAGCTGAAGGCTAGTGGGCTCTAGGACAGTGAGGATAATCACATTTCACTTGTGCTAGAGAAGGAAACAATTTCTCCATTCAGTGAGAGTCAGATCAGGCAACATACAAAGTTCCTCCAACATCTCAATCACCAGAACAAAAATTTATAGCAACAAATCCCACTTAGTGACAGTCTACCTCCACACTACTCCCGCCTCTCCCTGCCTCCGCCACTTACCTGGAATACAAGGACACCAGTGTGGGAGACTGCCAGGTTAATTTTGGTCCCCTCCCGGTCAGAAGCTGTGTGAAACCTGATGCCATACATTTCCAATTTCCTTGCAATCTCAAGCACCTGGAAATCCGACTCAGCAGGCGTCTGGCCCCTGTAAGGAAGGACAAATTGATCATATGAACGAAACGTCAGGTATCTAAGAGAGCCAAACATATTAGAGAAGTGATCAGGAAAACAAAACAAAATAAAAGTACCAACAAACCAACAAGGGGCTTTGTGTTTTCAGAAGGCAGATGGTTCACTGTCTACATTTACCCACTACAAAAACAACATGCCAGCAAAGCACCAGTGTCTCATGCCTGTAATTCTGTTTGGGACGCTAAGATCAGGAGGACAGCATTTTGAGGTCAGATCCGGTAATGTGCAAACGTCCCAGGCAGCTATCAAACATTGTTAGAGGAAATATCATAGATGATTCTCATGTCTTATGAAGTCCACTTAATTTTTTTGGCAGAACTGGGGTATGAACTTGAAGGCCTCAGGCTTGGCTAGCTCAGGCCCTTGGGCTATACACACAGGCCCATTTTTTGCTTTAGTTATTTTCTGGATAAGGTCTTGTGTTTCAGATACGAGATTCTTCTAACTATGGTCTCCCATGTAGCTAAGATGACAAGAGTGTATCACAGAGCCCAGCTATTGGTTGGGGTAGGGTCTCCTGAACTTTTTGCCTGGGCTGGCCTCAAACCAGATCCTCCTGATCTCTGCCTCTTGAGTGGCTGGCATTTTAGGTGTGAGCAACCTAACCAGGCCTAAACCCCCTTTAATACCTTAAGAAAGTATTTTCATAATGTACACTTCTTGTCATTAGCATACACTTTTATAAGAATGAAATTATGAAGTCAAATAAAAATATCATTGCCAAGACAATGTTAGTCTTATCCAAATAAACGTCTTTTAACATGCAATGTGTCTGTGTAGTCCACAGCCCATGTCTCCAGGAAACAAGTGACCATGGTCAGTGCCCCTGAGCAAGTCTCCAAGAAACTGATATTCACAGGCAGTTGCAGTGGTGAGGGAATGGAGGGCACTCTTGTTGGGTCACCCCTGGTCAGTACCCACATTCCACAACTAAATTTGCCTTACAACTCTTTTCCTTCTTACTTCAAACACCTGAACTTTTGAATCTTTAAGGAATAATGCCACTGTAGATTTCTCTCTTCTTGTGATTTCCGTTCTGTGACTATGATACAGAGAACTGACTACACGCTGACAACCTGTCCCCAATATCCCAAACTCATCTGTCCACTTGGGGCTGCCGCCTTAGCTGGACACTTAACAGAAAAGTGCCCAACCCCCCTCCTCTTCAAGGTGTCTACCTCTTGCCCTGTGTGTTCTGGCAGTGAAGGACCTGTCTCCAATAAGGGACAAATCCTGAACTGGAGAATGTCTCTGGCTGGAAAAGCGCTCTTTGCTCTGAGGGCATCAGGGTCTAGACTCATAATAGCTACACCTTTCCTTATACCAGCTGGAGGAAGAGAAAAGGCTAGCAAGAGGTAAAGCCAAGGGCATCCAGGTAAATGGAGTCAGATCCAGCAGTTTCCTCAAGGACCAGGTGAATGGACTCCGGGCCACAAGCACCAACAGACACCAGCGGTACCCCACATATTATATCTAAGTCAGAGGTATGCATGCTCAGTTTTGCCCACACAAAAGGGGGTAATGACAATGCATGCCTCGCAGGGGAACTTAGGACCAAATGCCAGCACAGCAACTGGCTTACTGTGAGCACTGATTAATCACCGTACTGACTCCTGTACCAGCTGGCATTCTACTCTTGCCAGTGCATGAACTGCAACCATCAGTGTCAGTCACTTTGGGCCTTTCCTTCTTCCTCCTCCCTGTTCCCAGACTAATGTGCTTTGCCTGGATTGCTTCCTCAAAGGGCCTCCCGGAGGACAACTGTTTTCACTACACCCACTCCCAAATAGGCTGTGCTTGGACCCTAGCTATGGTGCAGGAGGTATGCTTTTTCTGTGTTCATTTGCAGGAGTACTTTTCTATATTCAGTGCCTGCCACAACGTGAGGGACACACAAAAAGCACTCCCCAAGTACTGTGAATGGTAACATGCATGAAATCCACTCTTGCAGGGGTCTCTAAGACCCGTGGGGGCAAGAACCTTGGCCTGTGACGTTCAAACTGACTCACTGGTGCTTAGAGGAGGGGATGATCTGTAATGGTGGCTGGCACTCAGACGTGAGAGGGCCATCAGTAGGTCCCAGTTCAGCTTTACTCAGGCAAAGTATGAGCAGGGACTTCTTCACAGAGGCCAGGTCTTCCAGGATGCTCACAGGCCAAGCTCCCCCTTTGATAAACCAGAGCTCCTAGTTATTGTACCTGAGCTCACAGAAGCCCCTCCTCATCAGTAATCTCCATTCTGCCTGAAGAGAGCACCAGTGTTAATTCTTAGCGAAATCAAAGGGGTAAATCAAAGTACGTGGTTGCCGCCATGATTCCGATGCCCAGCACAGGTGGATGCAGTCAGTTCGGTCCTACTCCACCAGAGTAGGCTTCCCATGGAAGGATGACTCCTTGCCATTCTGCAGGGAACGCAGCTCTCCTCAGTTCCTCCATGAGGCAAGCAGCAGCTCCTGCCCAAGCAGAGCACTCTGCTCACAAGGTCCTTCTCACCAGGTGTCCTTGCCAGCCCTTCCTAAAGCAGTGGTTTTCAGGTATGCCTAAGCTCTGTGTCAGCAGAGCCACATGATGAGGGCAGGTGCATGTCTTGGGACCAGGGAGCAACAGTCATCTCTGCAGTCCAAATCCTACAGAAGCTCAACGGTGGTTCCCTTGGGCTACACATTTAGTCATTACTGCAGGAACCACGTGCTAACAGCCAATCCCGACAGACTTACGTGTGCTCCCGATGGAAGTCTAATATCTTTTCCAGAGAGAGTTCCTGGTTGGGCAAGTACTTGTTGGCTTTGAGGTGCTCTCGATCCAGGGTTTCATCATAATCTCCTATTTCAGCTGAGATGAGACAATGAAAGTCAGTCATTTGGATTTTGAAACAAATGACAAGCATTGTGCATGCAAGTGCATAAACTGACAGCAAAAAATTACCCTAAATTGGTAGTGAGATAAATATAATCCTGAAAAACTCAAGATTTTGGCCAGGTATGGTAGCTCAAGTCTTTAATCCTTGTTACTTGGGAGGCAGAGACAGGCAGATAATGATTCAAGGACAGCCCAGGCAAAAAGTAAGACCATAATTTAAAGAACAAGTCAGGCATGGTGGTGCATAACCCTAGCTAAGCAAGAGACAGAGATAGGATTGTGGCCCAAGGCCAGCCCTAGGCAAAAACATGAGACCCTGTGTGAAAAATAACTTAAAAGGGCTGGGGATCCAGTTCAAATGGTAGAAAGCTTGCCTAGAACATGAGGCCCTGAGTTCAAACACTACTACTGGCAAAAAGAAAAGCAAACACAAGATTTTGTATTTTATTTTTCCAAATATTTTATACTATTAAAAGGAAAACAAAAATGCAGGTGAAGGGAATTTTTGACTCCTGAAAAGCAAAGACTCTGGTGAGGACTCTACAGAGGCAAAGGGTGAACTCTGAGTCTAATGTGCTTATTATTTTTTAGAAGCACACTTTAAAAGGTGCCTCATGGGGGCTAGAGGTATGGTTCAAGTGGTAGAGTGCCTGCCTAGTAAGCATGAAGCTTACTCAAACCCCAGCAGCGTACACACACACACACACAAAGCCAGGCACTGGTGGCTCATGCCTATAATCCTAGCTACTTGAAAGACTGAGATCAGGAGGACTGGAGGTTTGAGGCCAGCTCAAATTGTTTGCAAGACCACATCTCCAAACTAACCAGAGCAAAATGGACTGGTGGAGTGGCTCAAGGGGTCTAGTGCCTGCTTTGCAAGCACGAAGTCCTGAGTTCAAACCCCAGATCCACACACAAAAATAAATAAAAAAGGTTGTCTCATAGCTACAGTGACCAAGAAAATGTATTGTGTTTTAAATCTTTTTTTTTTTCCTTTAGGGTTTTTCAAATTTCCTTACTTCATGTATTTTAAGGCTACAAATATTCTTAATACTATCAAATCCAGTAATTTTAAGCAGTAAGACTTCATAGTAAGGTTGCAAGCACAGGCTGAGCTCCCCTCACCACAAACATCTGAGAGTGAACAGCCAACAGGGTGCCCATCCACTCATGTTATCCATACCTACCAAGAGGGACATTCTGACCTATGGCAAGCTTCCCTCCCCACCCAGATTCAGACTCTATTTATGTTTTACCACTTGCCCAACTGTCTCTGTAGCAGAAAGACCCAGTTCACAATATACTGTGTCTCTCTGGCTTCCTTTGATCTGAGAAGGACACTCTGAAAAGAAAGCTGCAGCTGAGTAGTTGCTATACCTCACAGGCTAAGCATACACTCTTGGCACCACCAAGAGTTGTGAAGAACTGAGGCCAATAGGAAAAGGGGACCAGGAACTAGAGAAAAGGTTAGATTAAAAAGAATTAACCTAGAAGGTAACACCCACGCACAGGAAATCAATGTGAGTCAATGCCCTGTATAGCTATCCTTACCTCAACCAGCAAAACCCCTTGTTCCTTCCTATTATTGCTTATACTCTCTCTACAACAAAATTAGAGATAAGGGCAAAATAGTTTCTGCTGGGTATTGAGGGGGGGAGCGGGAGGGGGTGGAGTGGGTGGTAAGGGAGGGGGTGGGGGCAGGGGGGAGAAATAAACCAAGCCTTGTATGCACATATGAATAATAAAAGAAAAATGAAAAAAAAAAAAAAAGAATACACTGAAAAGCTGTGTACCTGGGAAGCCTTCAGACCAAATGAGAAACAAAACAAAGTCAGTTTAAAAGTATTTATTTATGTAGTCAAGTCCCACAGAGCAGGCAGGCAAATCCATGGTAAAACCTGCTGCTTGAAGAGGGTTTGTCTGAGGATACTCACTGAATCTCTGCTGTGCTTACCAACTTCTAAAACTTCTGAAGCTTCCTGCACTAGATGTCCTGCACTGAAGTCTCAGAGACACAGGTCAGCCTATGCAAAGGACATGGCCTGGCCTCCAGTTCAGAAGCAATATGAGCATTTTCCCTTCGAGTCTGATGGCTTCATGAGGCTCTATAAAGCAACACCTGTTTCTCAGAATCTCCGCCTACATTTCTGTTTACTTTTTTTCTATTAGTGTATTAATTCTACAGAGTTTCACTGAGATATTTCTATACATGCATATAATGTACTTTGAGCAAATATACACTGTCACTTTTTAAAATCACTTCCTCCTCCCTTCATATGTGTGTGTGTGTGTATGTGTGTGTGTATTTGTGTGTGTGTGTGTGGTAACTTGGTCTCATGTCAAGTTAGGCAGGCACTCTACCAGTTGAGCCATGCTCCCAGCCCTCACTTTTGTTTTTGAAGTAACTTTAGTTCTTCACGCTCTTCTGTGCCATCTTTTATTCCATGTGAGATACTGAAGGAAAGCTATCTTTCTCCTTCACAGTTAAGGTTTAGTCAGAGAGGACTGTGATTTTCACCTTCAGGAGGTCCCTTTCTGGGCATGCTGAAACCTTGTTTATGGTCTGGCTGTAGAAGGGAGATGCACAAAGGCAACCAGTGCGGTGGTACACATCTATAATTGTCAACACTGCCCAGGCAGAGAGAGTTCAAGGCCAGTCTGAGTTACAGAGTGTCTCAAAACATCAAGGAAAGCTGGGCACCAGTGGCTCACGCCTATAACCCTAGCTACTTAAGAGGCAGAGATCAAGAGAGATATTAGTTCAAAACCAGCCTGGGCAAATAGTTTGCGAGACCCTATCTCAACCCATCACAAAAAAAGGCTGGTGGAGTGGCTCAAGGTGTAGGCCCTGAGTTCTAACCCCAGCATCACAAAACAACACAAGAAAACCCCATCAAGGGCTGTGGATGTAGTTCAGTGATAGAGCACATGCCTAGCATGTTGTAAGGTCTTGGGTTTGAGCGCCAGGACACAGTAGGAGTGGTGGGAGGAACACAAAAGCATAAATGAGACAGAACCCATGTGGCTACAGATTTCGGCCTTGAGCCTATAGGTAGAGACTGTTTGCTTCAAGGAATCCCACTTTACAGAAATTAAACTTCAGCTTATTAAGAGTATATTGGAATAGAAGTGCCTCATTTTTTGATCAGGCTTGTTAGTTATACATGTGTACCAGCAACTAAATGTGGTGCTGTACCCAGGACATCGCCTGTACAGGCCTCCCTCTGGGGGTGGAGATACTAACACTGCAGAAGGTGGGATGTGAGAAGGGCCGCAGTGGTGGTGGCACAAGTCAGGCGCTCCTCCAGTAGGTCTCTCTTGAGTTGCAAGGCAAACAAGTACCTAGAAGGAGTTCAAAATAAGACAAAGATCAACTCCACATGTTCTCTGAATGTAATGCAGACAAATCTCTGAAGCAATAGAGCAAACAAGCCCTGGGAAGCAGCAGCAACCAAGAGTGAACAAAATGCAGGGCTCTCATGAAACCAGCAAGGTTACAAAAGGGCTTTCATGCAATGAACAGGCACCAAGCAAAGGTCAGTTCAGCAGACTGAGTCACACACGTCAGAGTACCCAAAGTGCTGAGCCTACGTAGAGGCATTTCAATGAGAACAAAGGGAAGAGAAATGATCTCTTTCAGGCATACCAGATTCCTACACAATCACACTTTCTGCAGCAATACCTTCAATGAGGAAGTTCACAAATTCATATTGTAAAACTGCACTCACAATTTTAGGTGAAATAGCAGAAATACACAATTAAGAAGCAGCTTAAATTTAAACTTAAATTTAAAATGTGCAATTTAACAGATTGGTAATATTGGGTCTTGGTTAGGATCTGAGAAACAGGCACTCTGAAATATCACTGGTGAGAATGCAACCAGAGAAGGCAATCTGAAAATATTTACATATTTATTCCATCAACAAGTAATTATTGAGCATATATTACTCTTTTAAGTTCCAAGTTTTGTTCTTGGAGGTGGAATACAATGGTGAACAAGAGAAACTTACCTGGCCTTATTAAAGAATTTCCACTCTCGTGCAAGCTATCAAAATCCACTACATTTTCTTCAAATTTAAAATGTACATGCCCTTGAACTTGTAAGTTCCATTTCTACAAACCTTTTCTATAGCAGAATTCTGAGTTTACAAAGATAATGTGGACCATCATGTTTCTTTGCAGCATTTTAATAGAGAAAATAATGAAAATAGCACAAATACGCACTAGTAAGAGAATGACTACATAAACCAGGTTACAGACTACACTACTATGGAAAGATGTCTAACACATGCTATTGAATGGGGGAAAAATTCAGCCCATAGTTCAATATGTATTTCTTGGTACTGCTTTCCAACAATTGTATCATTAAGGTCTTATGTCCCTGGGCCATTCATTGGGAAAATTTCTGCTCAAACACTGGCACTTAAATGAAGAATTGGGTGGGTGGGTGGGCAGGGACAAAGGATTTTTTTTTTCTCTAGACTGCTTTATTTGAAAGGTTTTTCTTTGCCATAAACATGTACTTATTGTTTCTTTTCTTTTGGTTTGAACTCAGGGCTTAGCAGGCGCTCTATCACTTGAACCATACCACAACCCTTTTTGCTTTGTTTTTCAACCAAGGGTCTTACATTTTTTGCCCAGAACCAGCCTTGCACTGTAATCTTCCTACTTCTGTCGCCCAAGTAGCTGGGATTAAAAGCCTGATCTATCATGACCAACTCAAACATGTACTTTTTAACAAATAAAGAAAAAAGGCCTTCTGCATAAAAAATGAGAGAAAGGGAGTAGCTGTAAAACTGACTTCATATGAGTCCTGAGTCTTAGACCCAGGATCCTGGAGAACACTTTCTGTTACCCCTAGTTTTCAGGGATATATTTAAAAGTGAGACTCCCTCAATAGAAACTTCATGGTGATTTTCAGGTACCCAATATACTATCAAGGTAAGTCTGTGCTTACTCACACAAAAAAAGCACTTTTCTGCTATCCTGGAGATTACTCTCCTCAAGTTAAAAATGAGAGGTTGAGTTGCAGGGCTCTCTTCCTTTCCTTGCAGCTGGTACTTCAAGATTTTCTGATATTACCATGGTCTGCAGAAGCCTTTAAGAGACAGTCCATAAGATGCTATGCTGTGGTTCATTCTGGAACCTGGTCTGGGCAAGCCTCAGGGCTAAGGGTCATTCTACAGTCACTAGGAGAGCACCCCATTCTCTTTCACCTGCAGCTGACCTGGTGTTTGAGCTGATTTTTAGGTTACTGCTTTATTCCACAGTGTAAAACCGATACATGTATGCGCCAAAAAGTACAAGAAAAAAGCTTTCTGGATCTATTGGCCAGATGACTACTGTTAGCATTTTCTTCAATAATTTCTGCAAAAAATCAGCATTGAATTAGAGTAGCAAAAGAAACTACCTAAGATATTTCACACTCATAAAGTCCATCACACAGTGTACTTCTCCCAGTTACACAGATTTATTATGTATATGAGCAAAACTCCTCTGAACTTCACGCACATAAATAAATCTAAGTTCATCTAGAGAATATCACTACCTAATATCAATTCCAGTTTTAATTCTAAAAGTTTGTATGATAAACCTTTCTTCTAAGTCCAACTTCACACTTGTGTTTGTGAAAGAATCAACTGCCAAAATGCTTCTTTTCACTGTTCTAACATTTACTATTTTTATGTTATACCAATATACTGATTCATTCATTCTTAATCATAATGAAGGAATATAAAACTCCTGTTGACATCAGCGCCAGTTCAGTGTGAGCTCTTCACCTTGTATATTCTTCCTGCAACTGACCAGGATCAGGTGGGAAAAATTTTACAGCCAGGTGAAGCACTGCATTCTTTGGCCCTGTAAGAAGAAAAATTTCCAACTTCACAAATACAGACAATCTCTGTATCAACTCTTGCCATATATTACTGTGCAACTGACCTATGCTTTTAAACAGACTGTTAGAGCATTTTTTTCTAAATAAGATGATATTAGAAAGTTTTCTGGCTGGGGTGATGGTGCATACTTATAATCTCAGCTAACCAGGAGGTGGAAGTAGGAGGATCATAGTTAGAGGTCAACCTAGGCAAAAGTGTGAGACCTTATCTGAAAAACAAACTATAAGGAAAGGGACTGGGGGCGTAGCTGAATGGTAGAGTGCTTGACTAGAAAGATCAAGGCAAGTCCAATCCCTGGTATCAGAAGGAAAAACTTTTTCCTATGCATGAATTTATGAGTTCTAAGAATCAATCACAAGTATCAAAGAGAAATTTCAAGTCTTTTGCCATAAGCAGAGATTAGTCAAAAAAACCTTTAAAAATAAACAGAAAATTACACATTAAAATTCAAAGGTTGGGAGTGGTGGTGCCTGCATGTAAACCCAGCACTTGTGACTTCCAAATTTGAGGCAAGTCACCTAGGACCATCTGAATTAAATCTATTTCTCCCACCTTTCATTGCAGGTTTTTTTTTTTGGCAGTACAGGGGTTTGAACTCAGGGCCTTGAACTTGCGGCAGGCACTCTACCACTTGAGCCATGTCCCCAGCCCTGCACTGCAGATCAAAACTAAACAGCAAGGAACCCATCATCAGTAAGTACATGAGTGCCATCTACAAAGTGATGATGGACACGCCTAGGGTCTGAATGTTCCAGAACAAGGTGTCTTTTTGTACTGGGGTTTGAACTCAGGGCCTTGCACTTGTTAGGAAGGCACTTTACCACTTGAGCTATGTCCCTAACCTTTTTGTTATAGTTATTTTTTGGTAGGGTCTCACATATTTTGCCATGGCTGGCTTGAACTACAGTCCTACTTATGCCTCCCACATATCTAGGATGACAGGCACACACCACCATGTCCAGCTTTTTTGTTGAGATGGGGTTTTGCTAAGGGCTGGCCTCGAACAGCCTCCACAGGCGTAAGCCACCTGGTATAGCCACAAGGCATCGTTTTTTTAATTTTTATTTAAAAAGGTTTTTTGGCAGTACTGGGTTTGAACTCAGGGCCTCATGCTTGCTAGGCAGGCGCTCTACCACTTGAGCCGCTCCACCTTAAATATATAGTGGCTTCTAAGAAAATCAGCTGTGCACTGTATCTTTTTGGTGGCACTGGGATTTGAACTCAGGGACAAGGCATCTTAAATGAATAGAAGTTTGAAAGTTAAACGACTTACTTCGTACTTGCTTAATGATGGGTTTCATAGGTTCAAGCCAAATCTAAAGAGGATTTAACAGAAGAGAAAAAAATCTATTAGATAATTTATTTAATAAGTATGCTATAAAATATCATTTTTTTAATTAATAGAAATATTTATGAAAAATATTTGATTCTGTTGCCTTTTTTTTTTTTTCCACAGTACTGGGGCTTGAACTCAGGGCCTACACCTTAAGCCACTCCACCAGCCTTTTTTTGTGAAGGGTTTTTTGAGATAAGGTCTTGTGAACTATTTGACTGGGCTGGCTTCGAACCTCTATCCTCCAGATCTCTGCCTCCTGAGTAGCTAGGATTATAGGCATGAGCCACTGGCACCTGACTAAAGAGTGTGTTTTTTTTTTTTTTTTTGGTGGTATTGGGGTTTGAATTCAGGACCTCATGTTTGCTAGGCAGGAGCTCTACCACTAGAATCACTCCACCAGCTCTGTTGCCCTCTTACATACAAATTAAATCTTGGTACAACAAACTGTGCAAGCTCAGCAATGGCTGCTTCATGAAGTTGGGATAACATTAAACTTGCTTTCATATTGGATACCTCTACTGAGTCAAGCAGAATGCAGTTGTTTGTGTGCATAGAAGAGGCAGTACTGGGGCTTGAACTCAGGTCTTCATGTTTGCTTAGGCAGGAGATCTACCACTTAAGCCACTCCATCAGCCCTACCAATAACATGTGCTAACACCTAACAAATATTTGGTACACACTGCACTTTAAACAAATCAGGAGTGCTGCTGCATGAAAGAGGTCTGCTGTAGCATCAGAGCAGAGAAACTCAGGCAAACAGCTGTACTGCTGAGGACATGAGAGGCCACACAGAGGTCCATGTGATGGTGGGACTGGAGTTGGAACTCGAGGCTTTGAGCTTGCAAAGCAGGCAGCCACTCACAAAGAAAGCACTACTACTGCTTGAGGCACACCTCCAGCCCAACTGTAGACTTCTTTAAAGTAGTTACATCTATAAATACTAAAGAACTAACTTTTTTAGGTTACATCTATTTATTTATTAAACTAGCAAAATGAGTTAGTTTGATCAAAATCCACTTTTGATATGATTATCAGGTAGGATGCATCAGAGGTTGTTATGATAACCCAGAAGAAGGGTTTCCTTGGTACATGTGCTAATGGACAGAACAAGGTTTGGAAGGCTGTGCATTCAAACTTAAAGGAAGATATATTTTCTACAGCTAAAAATAAAATATTTTAATAGCACGAATTTGGTAAGAATAATGTGCTGATTATCAAATATCTTATTTATGTCATTACAGTAGATTCCCAAAGCCTCTTTGTGCATTGAGCACATAAAAATACTCTATAACACAGCCAGAGCTCGTTTCCAAAATCGAGTCAAAAGCACATACCCAGTAGGACTGGATGTTCTGAAACTCCAACCCGAAGTAGTCACACTCGATCAGATTCAAATGTTTCCACACTTGTGTCAGCAAAACCTGGCCATCACACTTAGGCTGCAAGGAGACAGATTTAAAAAAAAGTTCACCGACTGGATGGAGAACCATGAAAATTTGTGAAAACTGGCAATTTCTTGCTTCATTTTGCCTCCTAGTGTCTAAGAAAGACTTACAACTATCACAAAGTAAACACGTGAATCTGAGGCATCAGTGCTTAGAAACAAAATAAGTACATAAATATAAAAAACTCTTCCATTTTACATTCTTAGTGTGTTTTTATTCATATTTCTGTGTTATTTTAGGCTACAGAAATCATTTCTAGTTTCAGTTAACATCTATCTAATAATTTTGATATGTGCTAAAAAATGGAGTCCCACAGTCTCTTTATAGGATCCCCGTGAACAATTTTCCACTTGACAGCATTTGCATTAGTTAACTCAGACTGCTATAAAACTTCTGAAGAGAACAAAGTTACAATCTAGAAACATACTGAAAATATAATACAATTTAACTTCTGTTTCACTCTTACAATTTAGGCAAAGAAAAGAAATGGCAATTAAGCATTAAAAAGGTTCTAAATCTCTCTAATAAAAAGATAAGTTAGTGAGATTTTACTTTTCATCTATCACAGAAGATGGGAAGTGTGAGAAAATAGCTATGACAACATAGTGCTGAGGAGAATTTAAGTTAATACAACGCTGGAGGGAAGGTGGGTTCAAAATACTCTTCAAAATTTAGTGTACATTTATCTTTGCCCCAGCCAAGTCTACTTCTAGAACTTTCCCCTAAGATAGTCTCAAACTGTACAGAGCTAATTTCACAGAACTAATTCAGTAAAGGATTGGTAAAATAAGTAGTAGTATATAGCCATAAAAGAAAATTATGCAACCCTCAGAAAGAACACAGAACTCTCTATGTACTATCATGGAATAAAGTCTATAGCATACAGATTAGTTAAGAAAATAAAAGGTTCTGTTTCTGTACAATGTTATGGAATATGATTCTGTTTCCTAATACACACACCATTTATAAATTTATATACAGTAAGAATGAGGGCTGTACACCAAATCTTTAACAGTAACCACTGTTTCAGGACTGATAGGAGGAGGAGGGAGGCAGGTCTTTTGTTTCAAGACATTATACTTCTTCAAGTTTAAACGGCAGACTTTCTGTGTATCAGCAATGTTTAGGTTCCTTGAAGAATTCTTTGGAGGAATAAAAGTCTGCACTCATTTGTAACAAAAAAGCACACAGAAAATAAAAGTACAGTAAGCGCCACCTTAAAATGGAAGGTGAGCTAGAGTGGCCTTACATTGTAAATACAATTTATAAAAAAACAAAACAGTGACTATCCGGGGTTGAAGTCACTGGCATCAACTCTTATAGCCTATCAGTGAGAACTCTGATAGGGTGGGCATCTCAGAGGGGTGCTCTGTAGCTCAGAGAACACACCTGTAACTTGTGCTTCTCAGACTGAGCAAACAAACACCCTGGTTAACCAGCTGAAAATCATGGCAACCACAGTGTTTTCTATCAATCCCTTGTGGGCCCAAAACCACTGAGTTAGAGGAGCATGCTAGGAATCCTCTTAGACCATCCATTTCCCACACCTCCATCCCCTCTACCAGGATAACCATGCAGAACAGTCCTTCCTCGTGACTTTCTACTTAACAGTGGTGGTTATGTTTGAGGCTGAGGGTGGGCTTGGAGTGAGAGAGCCCATGCATGCCTCAAGTATTCCCTTAGGGAAATTCCCTCTCCCTTCCCTTCTGTTAGCCTCTAGTGCATCTGTTGAAATCCAATACAAAGTTCAAGCATCTGTGATGGCCTCTTAATTTCTGTCAATTCTATTCACATACTACTTGGTAGTCACCTGTAGCATGGCACTGATTGTCTACCTTTTTGTTTAGGAAGGTGAATTCCAAAGGGCAGGAACTGGGTCCTCTCCATGGTTGTGTCTCTGGGCCTAGCACACAGTAGGTGCACCACAATGCCTAACTCTCGACCACCTACTGCTGCTTCTGATTCCAATGGCCGTTATGGGGGCTGAGCCCTCTTCCAACGAAACAGGAGGCCATTCCTCTAACCATCCTTCCTCTTCTTCTCTTTTTTCTCCTTTTCTTTCATCATTTTTACTCTTACTTACCTGTGTATACACTGTTTGTGCTCCTCCCTCTCCACCCCGCCCCCATTTCTGGGTCCTTCCTCTTCTACTGCCTGGCCACCCAGGTGCCAAACCAACTGTTCCACAGGGTGGTGCAGCCTGGGCTTCTACCAGCAGGTCTGTCCTACTGGACCAGGGAAATCCCTGTGCCAACTATGCAGATGCACAGGCACACGTTCAAGATGCACCTGTTATCCTGTTTTGTTGCACATAAATATACATCTGTGGATACTGTCAATCTCCAAATGTGAAACTAATATAAACGAATAAAGTTTTTTTAACTCAATTATCCCAAATTTGAATAACAAAAGGAATTTCATATTCTCTGTATCACCTGAAACCAGCCTCAACTCCCACAAAATGCTTCAGATTCAAGTGTTTTTATAAACCTTGAAGGAATGGACATTCCCAAAGCTATTTAAATTTCTTCAAATCAATGGGGAGTTTTTTTTCCCCCAAACCCACGCACTCATACACATGCATCCTTACAGAAAAATTCAAATTTATGGACTAATTAAAAATATCCTAAGTAAAATATCAGCAAATCTGGGGATAAACAAGAATAATAGAAGAGGTGAAATTGATCAATGTACATTATATGCATGTATGGAAATATTACAACAAGACCTTTTGTACAATTAATATACACAAAAAGGAGAGGAAAATCTATTGGCAAATATAAGGCAGTAACAACTGAAAGAATACTGTACTATAATCAGGTAAAGTTTATTAAAGAACAGAAGGACAGTTAAATAATATTAGAAAATTTATTAATATATCATATCAACAGATCATATAGAAAAAATAATACTATGATTAGAATAATTGAGAGGCTAAGAAGGATCTAATTAAATCAATTTCCAGTTCCTCCCTCTCCCCACCCTGTGGTACTGGGGACTGAACCAAGGGTCTTGTGCTTGGCAAGGGCTTTACCACTTGAGCTGTGGCTCCCTGCTCATCAATTTCTAGTCTTGATACAATTTTTTTTGTGAGACTGAACTCAGGGCTTTGCACTTTCAAAGCAGTTACTCTGACAGTTGAGCCACACCCCAGAGTCCCTTTTGTTCTGGTTATTTTGAGACAGGGACTCACAAACTATTTGCCTGGGCTGGTGTCAAACTGTAATCCTCCAAGCTCAGACTCCCAAGTAGCTAGGAATATAGGCATGAGTCACTGGTGCCTGGCTTTGATATAAATTCTTAATGAAACAGGAAATGATATGCAAAAAAATAGTCACAAACCATATAGTAAAGAACCCACACAACGGAAAACAAATAACCAGGCAAAATGAACAGAGGACTTGAGAGACACTTTTCCAAAGATGTAAAAGTAGCCACAGGGCTGGGTCACAGCTCAGTGGTAGATGTGCATGCTTGCCTGCTATGAACAGGCCCTGGATTTGACCCTTAGTGCCAGAAAAAGAAGAAGAAAGCAAGAATGGACAAGAAAATTCTGAGAAAAAAAGAGAGAACTAGTATTATCAGACATTAAGATTATTGAAAACAGTAATTAACAAGGGTGGTAATGTTGTATGTCTACACAGGCAAATCAGTGGAACAGAACAGGAGGTAAAGAAATACACTAAAAAATATAAAATACTGATAGATTTGATAAAAGTGATGTTTCAAATTTGTGAGGAGAAACAGAAAACACAATAAATACTACTGGGTATCCATCTGGAAAAAATGAGACTATACCCTTACTTCATGCTTTACAGTGTAATAAATTCAAAGTAAGTTAAAAAAGCATCTATTCAAAGTACTACAACAAGATAATTCTGCTGTATACTCTATTTTCAGTAGGCTACAGAAGATAAAAGCTGCAATAGGAGACTTTGAGAGATTGGGTAACATACACACACCTCAATCTGTACAGAAAGAAACATTATAAAGCTAGAGAGTTCTTCAAAGGCAAACAGAGGAAAAAAATGATAGCTTCTATGCTGAACAAAGGGGCTAATTTCTTAAAACATACCAGACGGCAAGAATCAGCAAGTAAAAAGATTTCACACTAAGCACAAACACAAGGAGCCTCCATGTTGCTGAACACAGGAAGATGCTAGGAGACTGGGGTGCCCAGAGGGCACTATGTCCTTCCCTATAGGTTGCCCTTTGTATTTCCTCATCTGGTTCTTCCTCTACATCCTTAACAATAAACAGTAAATGTAAAAATAATAAAATTAAAAAGAAAGAAGGAAAAACAGGCAAAAGGACAGGCTGTTCCCAAAAAAAGGAAACATAAATTATGTTTAAACACATAAAAAGAGGCTTATTGACTCAGAGATGTGCAAATCAATATTGCACTGAGATACTGGTTTTTTTTTTTTTTTTGGTTTATCAGATTGGCAAAACTCAAGAGTCTGAAAGTACATTGTGTCTGAGAGTGTGGGAAACAGGCGAGCTCATGTAGGGCTGGTGGGAACAAAGTACAACCTCTAGGGGGGCCAGGCAACCAAAATTCAAATATACACACCACTGTCCAAAAATTCCACTTCTTAGAAGCATTTCACAGATACAAATTCATGTGTGTTAAAGAATATTTGTTGCAATAATGCTAACAGCAAATCATTAAATAGACTCTAAATATATACCAAAAGATTTATTTATTATGCCTAATAAATTATGGTACATTGAATGATGAAATTCTAGGTAAAGTTGTAGGGCAAGGATGCTCTCTGTTCTAAAATGGAAGCATCTCCAGGACACACTGCTAAGAGACAAAAGCAAGGTATAGAGCAGCAATACGCCTCCCTCTGGTAAGCAGAGGAATGTGGAAATGTGGGTAGAGATGGAATGTGTGATGGGTGTGTGCACATGTAGACAGATGCACAGATTCTCTCTGTAAAGACCACAGTAAACTAGGGATAGTGGCTGGTTCCAGACAACAGAACTAT